CGCCTATATATTCCCAAATATCCCCAAACCACTAGAGGCATCCATGAAAACACTTTTCCACTGCTGCAACCTTCTGTACCTGTGAGATCCCATCTAGGGACCTTTTCCGGCACCCTGTCGGATGGGGATTTGATCATGGAGGGCTTCTACATCAACTTTGTTGCCCTTCCGATGAAGCGTCAGTAGTTTACCTCAGACCTTCGGGTCCACAGCTAGTAGCTAGATGGCTTCTTCTCTCTCTTTGATTCTCAATACCATGTTCTCCTCGATGTTCTTGGAGATCTATTCGATGTAATACTTTTTTGCGGTGTGTTTGCCGAGATCCGATGGATTGTGGATTTATGATCAACTTATCTATGAATATTATTTGAATCTTCTCTGAATTCTTTTATGCATGATTTGATATCTTTGTAATTCTCTTCGAACTATCCATTTGGTTTGGCCAACTAGATTGGTTTTTCTTGCAATGGGAGAAGTGCTTAGCTTTGGGTTCAATCTTGAAGTGTCCGTTGCCAGTGATAGTAGGGGCAGCAAGGCACGTATTGTATTGTTGCCATCGAGGATAAAAAGATGGGGTTTTTGTCATATTGCTTGCGTTAATTCCTCTACATCATGTCATCTTACTTAATGCGTTACTCTGTTCTTCATGAACTTAATACTCTAGATGGAGGCAGGAGTCGGTCGTTGTGTGGAGTAATAGTAGTAGATGCAGAATCGTTTCGGTCTACTTGACACGGATGTGATGCCTATATTCATGATCATTGCCTTAGATATCATCGTAACTTTGCGCTTTTCTATCAATTGCTCGGTAGTAATTTGTTCACCCACCGTATTATTTTCTATCATGAGAGAAGCCTCTAGTGAAACCTATGGCCCCCAGGTCTATTTTCCATCATATAAGTTTCTATTTTCCATCATATAAGTTTCCGATCTACAATATTAGTTTTTGATTTACTATTTTTGCAATCTTTTACTTTCCGATCTATAAACCTAAAATACCAAAAATATTTACTTTATTGTTTATCTATCTCTATCAGTTCTCACCTTTGCGAGTAACCATGAAGGGAATGAAAACCCCTTTGTCGCATTGGGTGCAAGTTGTTTGATTGTTTGTGCAGGTATTCAGTGATTTGTGCGTTGTCTCCTACTGGATTGATACCTTGGTTCTCAAACTGAGGGAAATACTTATCTCTACTTTGCTGCATCACCCTTTCCTCTTCAAGGGAAAAACCAACACAAGCTCAAGAAGTAGCAGTCATCCATAGGCCCAGAGGACTGACGGTAGCTCGGCCACCCAGGCCCCTGTCGCATGAGTTAGGTCGTGCATGAGGCGAGGTTTCAATCCTTGGAGGATGAGCCCATTCGCTCGCTCGGCTTACCCATTCGACTGTTGGTGCACCACAAAGGCATAATCAAACCGAGTACCTTGGGTGTAGCAAAACTCACGGAATTCATCCGAGTCGAAGTTAGACCCTTTGTCGGTGATGATGCTATGATGGACTCTGAATATGAAGATTATCTCTTTGATGAACTAAATGGCAGTGGCCGAGTCCAGCTTCTTTATTGGCCTGGCCTCAATCCACTTGGTGAACTTGTCCACTACCACCAACAGGTGTGTGAAACCACTCGCTCTAGTCCGAAGAGGGCCAACCATGTCGAGTCCCCAGATGGCGAACGGCCAAGTGAGGGGAATTGTCTTCAGAGCGGACGCCGGCTTGTGCAACTAATTTGCGTAAAACTAGCACCTAACGCATTGATCCACTATATCTTGGGTAGCCTCATTGGCTCGGGGCCAATAGAACCCGGGTCTGAATGCTTTGGCAACCAAGGTCTGAGAGGATGCATGGTGTCCACATGTTCCCGAGTGAATCTCTTGAAGAATTTGTTGCCCTTCCTCTGGTGATACGCATCGCTGAGTGACTCCGGTTGTGCTCTTCTTCTACAACTGATCTCCCATGACGATGAAGGCCTTAGATTGACAGACAATCTAACGAGCTTCATCTTCATCTTCTGGGAGCTCCTGCCGGAGCAGGTATGCTAGGTATGGTTCAGTCCACTCAGGAGTGATAACAAGAATCTCTTGGACCAGGTCAATTACCGCAGGGATGTCTACTTTAGTCGGATTGGAAGGACCGACTGGTTGTGGGGGCTCTTCCACAAAATGATCTTCCTTGATTGTGGGCGAATGCAGGTATTCCAGGAACACATTCTTGGGTACTGTCTTCCTGGTTGAACCCATCTTGGCCAAATCATCAGCTGCTTGGTTCTCGAGGCGCGGCACATGACGTAGTTCCAGCCCTTCAAAGTGCTTCTCCAGTTTTCTGACGATGTTATAGTAGCCAGTCATTGCTGGACCGCAGATACCCCCACTCTTTCATGACTTGGTTGACCACTAGATCCGAGTCGCCATAGACCATCAGTCGACGAATTCCCAGAGAAATTGCCATTCACAACCCATACACGAGAGGTTTGTATTTGGCTTCGTTGTCGACGACAGCGGCGATGAGGTGTCGCCGCTGGCCAAACCAGTCCGTTAGGGGACCCCGGGCAGGGGTTCAGCAGGGACGGCCACGTGAAGGAGGAGGACGACGATGGCAGCGACTTCGGTGTGTTCAGCGAGTTCTTCAGCGTGTAGGCGTGGCCGTATTTTTTCTTCTTTTTAGTAGATTTATTATTATGTTTCTATGTGTAAAAAAATTGTGAACCGCCTAAATATCGCCGAATGTATGTCGTGTTTGCCGAAATTTGCCCAATTATGTTTTTAATTCTTTTTTAAAGAGCGTCTAGGGCCGACCTGGGGGCGGCAGCTAGGAAGCCGATCGCCCCCATGCTGAAAATATCGTCGTTTCGCCCCCAAGCGGCACTTTTTTCTAGCTCCTGGGATGGTGAACGGTTGGAGATGCTCTTATACTGCTCGCCAGGGCGGGATGCTTGCTTGTCGACCTCCGGTAGTGGACGGTGGCCTCAGCGCCGAGTCCGACGACGATGCGGCAAACTAGTTGCTTGTATCCTCGCCATCGTTCACTACAGCCGCCACAACGTGTGTGTTATGGATAGCTGTTAATCTTAATCATATCCCGTGCAGGCAACCAAACAACATGTCAAAATTGCTCCCCTAATGCGAGAGACCTAAATACGGGCAACCAAACAATGCAGATGTTGACTTTTTACCTATTTTCCTTCGAACAGGCTCGGTTGGGCTAGCCAGGCCCAACTCCCGCCCCAAACGCATGGTGCATGTCAAACGTGGTTATCTTTCTATGCATGATGGTATAATGAGTTGACATATTGGGAGAATTAGAGTTAGCGTGATCTGACTATTTAGGTATATATGACACTTGTTACATCATCAACCATTTAGATATACAAGATACCCATTACATCATGATGTTCTCGCATTGCCTTTTTCGAAGTAAAAAAATCCATACTTTTTTGTTGGAGAAACATATTCAATACAAGGCTCAAATAGACTCAGGTGGAGAAAAACTATTTTACTACTTCCTCCGTCCCAAAATAAGTGTCTCAACCTTAGTACAAATTTATACTAAAGTTATTACAAAGTTGACACTTATTTTGGCACGGAGGGAGTACATGTCAGAGAGTAACGTCCCATCCATCTCCAATGGAAGGAAACCAGGAACGCAAAAGTAGCCATGGTGGCAAAGCAATCAAGATCAACGGACAGAGACCCACGGACAGAGACCATGTGAAGTTTGTGACCTATCACTGAGTTCTAAGGACTGCCTAAGCTCAAAATCAAAATGTCAGTCAATGATGCTCAAGTGCTGCATTCTATTTTCTGGCGTTTTGACTGCTGTTCCGACTGCTTCATCCACTCCATGCACTCCTCCATAGTTCCCTGAGGATGCGCAAGCTGCCACTTGACTAGCCGTTGTTGCTGGGAGAAAGTGCACATCTTTGTGTTAAGTAAGAATGCACAGGAACTGGAATAGTATGATCAGTTGGTTTACAGGGGGTTCATACATACCCATTTTCCAATCAAGGGACCTCCGGACTTGACCTGCATGACCCCCATAATGGCCTTTCCATCAAGCAACGGCTTCATTTTCCATACGCCATCAAGATCTGGTCAAGTGGAACAACAAGGTATAAATCAGGAGGTAGTTATGTGAGGAACACATCAACTATCATGATAGGAAACTAAAAATATCATTAGGTAAGTTCTTTACCAAGTTCAGTTATTGATCGCTCCACACTGATGTATCTCTCTTTCATTTTATCTAGTTCATCCTGCTTGCCGAGGGAATCGCTGGCATTGCCCACTTCTGGATAGACAAGAGTTGAGATAAACAGTGCCACACGCCAAAAACCTTTTATTTCACGAAGTATAAGTCCTGAAATGCTCAAACTGTCAGAAATTTTATCCAGTAACACAAGGAAATAAGAATACTGCAAACAAATTGATCCAATACCCTAACAAGTTAAATCAAAAGATATCATGTGCCTAGAATGCCCATAACAAGACCATCAGAAACTTCAAATTTTAAGGAACTGACCAATATGAAGGACATTCCAAATTTAAAAATAAGGATGGCCAGCACTAACCTGCAAAAACACGTTTCACTAAGTCTGTTGGTATCTCTAGATATTCATCATCCAGCTTCTCTTTCACAGTTTCCAGATTCTCATTTGACTCCAGGAGAAGAATTAATTCAGCAAACTTTTCACTCGCAACATGTATGTTCACAATCTTTCAACACAGAACAGATAATGAAAAGTTTTTTTTAATTAAATTACACAACACATGCAAGCATAAACAATTGCTTTCGAGATTAGGCCTGCTCAATAAAGTGTACCGTGTCAGCATCACTAGCTTTCAGCTTTAGAGAGTACCGAATAATATAGCTAACAACTGGAACCTGCAGATGACACAACAGACCTGTTATAGTACTTCCATAAAACAGTAGAGGGCAAATGAATGTGATGATTATCAAGCTGTTTAGTTTGTTAACAAATTTACCAACCTCCAAGAGTTTCTTTCTAAATAACATAAACCATTTTATACCTTGCAAAGAACCCGCCGTCTAACCAAAAGTTAAGCTAGACTATCAGGCAAAGATTAGCACCTCATGTTCAGCTTCAGATGAAGCTTAACCTGTCCGGAAAAATATCTATTTCTATGAAACAAGCAAGCGTACCCAGGTAGACACTTGCAGAGCATTGAAGAGTGTCCGCAGGGTAGACTATAATAGAATATTTGACCTGCTTATGTACATACTGTTTGTATTAGGAAAAAAGATAATGCATGAGTTAGATGATTTTATTCCTATGTTTAGTGTAGGAAAAACGGAATATGGTCATGATGGCCCAAGCCTGCTCTCTCCGATCAGTCTAGTTATGAGTTTGTTCGCTTACACCATTGCAGAAAAGTCGATGACTTAGTCAACCAAAGAACATCAAGCGTATACAGAGTTTTGCCCTTCTAAATAGTTAAATGTTTGGATTTAGACAAATCTGGAGGATGCCTGAGTTGGATGTTACCTTCTTTGATTTTTTGTCCATGTAGAACATATTTCGAACTGGAGTAAATAGCGCGCTATACAGGCAAAGCCTTTGCTGTTCATCCTAAAAATCATAGTAAATCTTAAGAGTTAGGAAAACAAAATAGCATCCATAAAAGCCAAGTATGTGTTTCTTGGTAGCCATTGCACATAACTTGTAGTAAAGTTGCCTACCATAGTAATTCTAGATACAGTACTATACTAGTGAGAAACTTCTATAATAGATTTTCTGAATTACAGTGCTATACAAAATCAACTATAAGACTGCAACGAATCTATAGAGAGATACTTGAATGATTTAGAGCAATATTTTGTACTCCCAGCGGTCATGGTTCGATCAGGTTCAAAAACATTCTATAAATGCCTTAAGAATTCAAAACTGTTACAGAGAAGAATCAGAATAATGTTGGTTCGTTATAAATTATTTCAAGGTTACTTAAGTTTTACTTTCGGTCATATGCATTTCAATGTCAACACAGGAAACAGCTTAAAATAACATGCCATGCAAGAAACATGATTTTGGGGGTGTTATTTAACAAGATATATGATCAAAACTCCGCAGACCTGTGACTTGGAATCAGAACCACCACTGAACACAGAACGGCCAATAGAATGTGCAAGATTCCATGCTGCTTCAAGATGTGAAACACAAAGCCTGAACCAACAGAAAATATGAGCTATTGGAAACAAATAGACAAGTGCATACTAATTTGTAAAAGTCTACCAAGTCAAAAAATCTGAAATGTAACTGTGTGACATATAGTTATAGTTGGGTACTTCCATATTGCATGTAGTCCAAACATACATACTAGCATACTAGAACAGATACATACCAATCATGTTTGTCAAGAGCTGGAGGCTCTAGTTTCTCAGGAAAAGCAAAAACAACATAAAACAATCCCAAATCACGGATATGGCACAGTGCATTGACAGGGTGTTTGTCTGACATCATGAGGTCTACCTGCACAATATGCAAACTACAATATTAGTGACCTGGGGATTTGCTTGGCGTCACTCAATACACAATGGCGAAATTCCGTTACTTATACAAAAAAGCAGGAAGAAGCAAGGAAGCATCGATTGACAGTTAGTGTAGAAATCAGACCTCATGACCAATTCGTTCTCTGCTAATCTTGCTACCAAGTTCAGACTTCACCTTTTCATCAGAAGCCGCTTCTTTCAAATCTTCAGCTAATGTAAAGCTGAATCTAGCAGCTGCCAGAGATGAATATTAGCATATGCAAAGAAAATAATACTAATCCAAGTCACTGTCACACCCTTTAATTATACGCCATAGCAGGCATTTGCACTAGCAAGCAAGTGGGCAAGATTTCAACTTATCAGAGAGAGAAACACTTTATAATGTTTTCAGCTAAGATTACCTAAGTAGAAATGGCTTGAAGTTAAGATGCTATTAGCAAGTCAAACTTATCATGAACACCTCTAAAATCATAAAATTATAGAAAGTATTAGTACTCATAATAAAATTAGAAAAAGATCACCCGAACTATTTGAGATTGATCACAGGACATACCAAACCGAATTGCTCTAAGAACCCTGAGGGGGTCATCCAGGAAAGTTGACTTGGCAGGTAAAGGAGTATCAATGAGGCCCTTTTTCAGATCTTCAAGACCTTCACATAGTATGGGATCACCATGAGTACATAACAGCGAGAATTTACAAAATAATGACATGGGTTTAGAAACTAGTAATAGCAAAGAAACTAACCTCTTCCAGTTAAATCTTCCACTGATTTAGTGTTGATATTGAAGAATAAGCTGTTGAAGTTTGGATTTTAGAAAGACTAAATAGGGAACTAAGTTAAACCTTGAAATCAACATTGTAGCAATGAAAGTATGACATTACAGAATACCAAATTCATTTTGAAAATAAATCACATGGCATTACCTATTGATTGTTAGGTCCCTGCGGAGTGCATCTTCTTTGGCTGTTCCAATCTCCTGCACATTACAAAGCATGGGATAGCTGTAAATTGCTTGTGCCTTGCGACAGATTATCAAAAGTAAAGAGATGAATAAGAAACAAAGAAGTTGCAAATACTGAGCCACCAAACATAAGTGTATCAAATTACAAGTGAATCAACATATATTTTAGTAGTTTGCCACGTCGAAAATACACACGGCAAAGTAAAAGACTTTGAAAAAGATCAAGACATGCAAAGAGATAATGTTTGTGCATAAGCTCAACAAAATGAGTACAAAAAGTAATGCTAAATGCATGTGCATACCACAGTAGGAATACGACTGTTTTCAGCGTACTTTTCGGACCTCAAGTTGACAAAATCAATCCATATGCCATATATAAGCATTCTTGCAGTTTCCAGGTGCTTGGATTGATCAGGGTTGCTGCCAAAAAAGAAGGTATAAACGGCCGCAGTTACATGATAAAATGCAAGGAACATATACAGAGTACTCTGTTTGCATTAAACTGTGACGATTTCCTTGTTCCCATGCATACGCAATTGACCTCAAAGAAAATTATATTGTATAAAAGCATAAAGGTCAAAAATATACCACCAC